TCGTGTTGTGGCGCTGCATATGTGGCTCCAGGCTACATGCAGCTCTTTTAACTTTGTCTTTGTGAATAACTTTGCCCTTTTCTGGAAACGTTACGAAGCCTATCGTCCAGACGGATTACACCCAAACAGATACGGTAGCAGCCTATTGATGGATTACATGCGTCATGTTGTTCAGCGTTCCCCGAGGGGGGCGTGACTGTTTACATCTGAGCCCCCTCGGACCCCACCGCACTCCCCCGCCTCCTGCTCACCAGCACCGGGTGAGTACAACGGTGCAAACACTGCTCCCTGTCCGTCTGGCAGTGCATTACCAGTCCAAACACTGAACTGTGCTGACTCCCTTCTGACTCTGGGAGCTAAAGAACAACAAGGGTTTTCACATTTTAGGCCAATTGAGACTGTGTGTGTTCCTCGCACCAGCTCAAAAATGTTTTTAAATTCTAAAAAACGAAATCAAAACAGGACAGCAGTTAGACGGTCCAACTCTGCAAATCTAATTTCTGTTCCCTGTAGAAATCAATCAACCACATTAATCGACTCTGACGTTATTTTTAAACTTGCTATGCTTAATGTCAGATCTCTATGTAACAAATCATTTTTAATTAATAATTTTATCACTTCTTATGATCTTGATTTTATGCTTATGGCTGAAACATGGCTGGACCAAAATACAGGAAATGCAGTTCTAATAGAAGCAACACCACCCAATTTTAAATTCGAATCCGAAATACGAGAAAACAAAAGGGGGGGAGGCATAGCTGCAGTTTTTAGAGAGCACTTTGTCTCCCATAGAATGCCCCTTGGAAATTTTTCATCGTTTGAGTATATTTCTTTTAAAATGGAACAAAAGCAATCTTCTACTCTTTTCATTGTCCTGTACAGGCCACCACAGTCATGTTGCGATTTTATTGACCATTTTACTGAACTACTTTCATTCGTGTGCACAGATTTTGATAGTTTAGTTATTACAGGTGATTTTAATGTACATGTTGATAATGTTGATGACAGAAATGCAAAGGAGCTGGCTTCTGTATTTGAGACCTTTGGTTTCATTCAGCACGTGAGTGGCCCCACCCACAGCAGGGGGCACACTCTTGACCTGCTAATTACAAAGGGGGTTAATGTATCAAATGTTAATGTAGTTGATGTTGCTTTGTCAGATCATTTCTGTGTATTTTTTGACATGTGTTTTGCTAGCAAACCACCAGCTGAATTTACAATTGTTAGAAGAAGACACATACATGAAAACACAAGTGAACTGTTCATGGGAATGCTAAATTTTGAGAAAACTCCATGCTCTACTGTTGATGAATTGTATAACTCTGTCACCACCAGTGTTCTGACTGTTCTGGACGCCATTGCTCCTGTGACGGTTAAAATAGTTACCAGTAAGAAAAAGGCCCCATGGACTAAGGCAGACTCGGTCAGGGCACAGAAGCAAGAGTGCCGGAGGGCCGAACGGAAGTGGCGAAAGTCCAATTTCCAGGGCGATTATGAAATCTTTAAAGATGAGTTGGGTGAATTTAACCGGGTTCTACGTAGAACAAGAGAAATGTATTTTTCTGACATTATTGGAGGTTGCAGTAACAATTTTCGTGTTATGTTTTCAACAGTTGGTAGATTAACGAACCCCCCTGTAAAGTTGCCCCTAGAATTTTCCTCTAAATCTAGGTGTAATGAGTTCGCACAGTTTTTCAATGACAAAGTACAAGGAATCAAAAACACTATCACCTCCACAGCACGTATAACAATGCAACAGCCAGAGAAGCTTTTTGAGCTAACTCACTTTGCACCTGTGGATACTGAAACTGTCAAAAAGATAATCATGAGTCTGAGCTCCTCCACATGTAGCCTGGATATATTGCCCTCTAAATTTCTGAAGTCCGTCCTGAGCAGTTTGTTACCTTCACTGACACAAATAGTAAACATGTCTCTGTCGTCAGGAACATTTCCTATGGCCCGAAAAAAAAGCAGTCATAAGACCTCTCCTAAAAAAGAGCAGTCTGGATCCTGCGGGACTTCAAAATTATCGCCCCATATCGAATCTGCCATTCATTGGAAAAATTCTTGAAAAAGTGGCCTCCCAACAACTTACTGAATTTTTAACAATGAATAATTCGGTAACACTTTACATTACGGGCCGGTAAGTCCATGGTACTTACAGTGGTACTTCTAGGTACTTACAGTGGTACTTCTAGGTACTTACAGTGGTACTTACGGTGGTACTTACGGTGGTACTTACGGTGGTACTTACGGTGGTACTTACGGTGGTACTTACGGTGGTACTTACGGTGGTACTTACAGTGGTACTTACAGTGGTACTTACAGTGGTACTTCTAGGTACTTACGGTGGTACTTACGGTGGTACTTACGGTGGTACTTACGGTGGTACTTACGGTGGTGCTTACGGTGGTACTTACAGTGGTACTTACAGTGGTACTTACGGTGGTACTTACGGTGGTACTTACGGTGGTACTTACGGTGGTACTTACGGTGGTACTTACAGGGGTACTTACGGTGGTACTTACGGTGGTACTTACGGTGGTACTTACGGTGGTACTTACGGTGGTACTTACAGTGGTACTTACAGTGGTACTTCTAGGTACTTCTAGGTACTTCTAGGTACTTACAGTGGTACTTCTAGTGGTACTTCTAGGTACTTATTGTGGTACTTACAGTGGTACTTCTAGGTACTTACAGTGGTACTTAGAGGTACTTATTGTGGTACTTACAGTGGTACTTCTAGGTACTTATTGTGATAATTCTAGATACAGCTGTAACTTAGTAATTCAAGGACACTACAGTATTATTCCTATGTAGTAAATGTGGTACTTCTACATACATACATACAGAGGTCATTTGTAGGATTGTTTGACTATAAAACATAAAACAACATTATGTAAAACAAACGTCTTTATTAATATGGAATAAGTAGCACAGAAAGGACAGTATAAATACATTTAATGCATATTTCAAAACAAGTTTCAAGGACAAGGGAAACACTGCAAGAACTAGGTACCCAACCCAAGAAACAAGAATTACACATTACCAGGTACTTACCAGCCAAGTACCAGGTACTTACCAGCAAGTACCAGGTACTTACCAGCAAGTACCAGGTACTTAACAGCAAGTACCAGGTACTTAACAGCAAGTACCAGGTACTTACCATAGGGACTGGCCCATAATAAGACAAAGGACTTTAACATAAGTACCAGTGATAACACCAGTAATTATACAGTAAGTACCAGGTACTTACCATAGGGACTGGCCCATAATAAGACAAAGGACTTTAACATAAGTACCAGTGATAACACCAGTAATTATATAGTAAGTACCAGGTACTTACCATAGGAACTGGCCCATAATAAGACAAAGGACTTACCCATAAGTACTAGTGATATCAGTAATTATATAGTATACCATGTACTTACCAGCAAGTACCATGTACTTACCAGCAAGTACCAGGTACTTACCAGCAAGTACCAGGTACTTACCAGCCAAGTACCAGGTACTTACCAGCAAGTACCAGGTACTTACCAGCAAGTACCAGGTACTTACCAGCAAGTACCAGGTACTTACCAGCCAAGTACCAGGTACTTACCAGCAAGTACCAGGTACTTAACAGCAAGTACCAGGTACTTACCAGCAAGTACCAGGTACTTACCAGCAAGTACCAGGTACTTAACAGCAAGTACCAGGTACTTACCAGCAAGTACCAGGTACTTACCATAGGGACTGGCCCATAATAAGACAAAGGACTTTAACATAAGTCCAGTGATAACACCAGTAATTATACAGTAAGTACCAGGTACTTACCATAGGAACTGGCCCATAATAAGACAAAGGACTTACCCATAAGTACTAGTGATACCAGTAATTATATAGTATACCATGTACTTACCAGCAAGTACCAGGTACTTACCAGCAAGTACCAGGTACTTACCAGCAAGTACCAGGTACTTACCAGCAAGTACCAGGTACTTACCAGCAAGTACCAGGTACTTACCAGCAAGTACCAGGTACTTGCTGGTAAGTACATGGTATACTATATAATTACTGGTATCACTAGTACTTATGGGTAAGTCCTTTGTCTTATTATGGGCCAGTTCCTATGGTAAGTACCTGGTACTTACTATATAATTACTGGTGTTATCACTGGTACTTATGTTAAAGTCCTTTGTCTTATTATGGGCCAGTCCCTATGGTAAGTACCTGGTACTTACTGTATAATTACTGGTGTTATCACTGGTACTTATGTTAAAGTCTTTTGTCTTATTATGGGCCAGTCCCTATGGTAAGTACCTGGTACTTGCTGGTAAGTACCTGGTACTTGCTGTTAAGTACCTGGTACTTGCTGGTAAGTACCTGGTACTTGCTGGTAAGTACCTGGTACTTGCTGGTAAGTACCTGGTACTTGCTGTTAAGTACCTGGTACTTGCTGGTAAGTACCTGGTACTTGGCTGGTAAGTACCTGGTACTTGCTGGTAAGTACCTGGTACTTGCTGGTAAGTACCTGGTACTTGCTGGTAAGTACCTGGTACTTGGCTGGTAAGTACCTGGTACTTGCTGGTAAGTACCTGGTACTTGCTGGTAAGTACATGGTACTTGCTGGTAAGTACATGGTATACTATATAATTACTGGTATCACTAGTACTTATGGGTAAGTCCTTTGTCTTATTATGGGCCAGTTCCTATGGTAAGTACCTGGTACTTACTATATAATTACTGGTGTTATCACTGGTACTTATGTTAAAGTCCTTTGTCTTATCATGGGCCAGTCCCTATGGTAAGTACCTGGTACTCACTGTATAATTACTGGTGTTATCACTGGTACTTATGTTAAAGTCCTTTGTCTTATTATGGGCCAGTCCCTATGGTAAGTACCTGGTACTTGCTGGTAAGTACATGGTACTTGCTGGTAAGTACATGGTATACTATATAATTACTGGTATCACTAGTACTTATGGGTAAGTCCTTTTTCTTATTATGGGCCAGTTCCTATGGTAAGTACCTGGTACTTACTATATAATTACTGGTGTTATCACTGGTACTTATGTTAAAGTCCTTTGTCTTATTATGGGCCAGTCCCTATGGTAAGTACCTGGTACTTACTGTATAATTACTGGTGTTATCACTGGTACTTATGTTAAAGTCCTTTGTCTTATTATGGGCCAGTCCCTATGGTAAGTACCTGGTACTTGCTGTTAAGTACCTGGTACTTGCTGTTAAGTACCTGGTACTTGCTGGTAAGTACCTGGTACTTGCTGGTAAGTACCTGGTACTTGGCTGGTGAGTACCTGGTAATGTGTAATTCTTGTTACTTGGGTTGGGTACCTAATTCTTGCAGTGTTTCCCTTGTCCTTGAAACTTGTTTTGAAATATGCATTAAATGTATTTATACTGTCCTTTCTGTGCTACTTATTCCATATTAATAAAGACGTTTGTTTTACATAATGTTGTTTTATGTTTTATAGTCAAACAATCCTACAAATGACCTCTGTATGTATGTATGTAGAAGTACCACATTTACTACATAGGAATAATGCTGTAGTATCCTTGAATTACTAAGTTACAGCTGTATCTAGAATTATCACAATAAGTACCTAGAAGTACCACTGTAAGTACCACAATAAGTACCTCTAAGTACCACTGTAAGTACCTAGAAGTACCACTGTAAGTACCACAATAAGTACCTAGAAGTACCACTAGAAGTACCACTGTAAGTACCTAGAAGTACCTAGAAGTACCACTGTAAGTACCACTGTAAGTACCACTGTAAGTACCACTGTAAGTACCACCGTAAGTACCACCGTAAGTACCACCGTAAGTACCACCGTAAGTACCACCGTAAGTACCACCGTAAGTACCACCGTAAGTACCCCCGTAAGTACCCCCGTAAGTACCACCGTAAGTACCACCGTAAGTACCACCGTAAGTACCACCGTAAGTACCACCGTAAGTACCACCGTAAGTACCACCGTAAGTACCACCGTAAGTACCACCGTAAGTACCACCGTAAGTACCACCGTAAGTACCACCGTAAGTACCGCCGTAAGTACCACCGTAAGTACCACCGTAAGTACCACCGTAAGTACCACCGTAAGTACCACCGTAAGTACCACCGTAAGTACCACCGTAAGTACCACCGTAAGTACCACTGTAAGTACCTAGAAGTACCACCGTAAGTACCACCGTAAGTACCACTGTAAGTACCTAGAAGTACCACTGTAAGTACCTAGAAGTACCACTGTAAGTACCATGGACTTACCGGCCCGTAATGTAAAGTGTTACCAATAATTCTTTTGATATGTTCCAGTCTGGGGTTAGACCCCACCACAGCACTGAGACCGCTCTAGTGAAGGTAACAAACGACATTCGACTTCACACTGATGCAGGTAAAGTCACAGTTTTGGTCATGTTAGATCTTAGTGCCGCGTTCGACACTGTCAACCATGAGATCCTCATGCAGAGACTGGAGGACTGGGTTGGTGTCACTGGCACAGCCCTAGACTGGTTTAGGTCTTACCTGGAGGATAGGAAGTACTCTGTGGAGATTGGAGACTGCGTCTCAGATGATGTGGCCCTGACCTGTGGAGTACCACAGGGGTCGATCCTGGGACCTCTCCTATTTAATCTCTACATGCTGCCGTTAGGTCAGTTAATACAAAGAAACAAAGTGTCCTACCACAATTACGCCGACGACACTCAGATCTATGTCTCACTGACTGCAGGAGAACATGGACCACTGGATTTGCTCCTTCACTGTATCCAACAGATCAGTGACTGGATGCAAAATAATTTCCTCCAGCTAAATGCAGACAAAACCGAAATCATTGTCTTTGGTCCCCAGAAACAAAGAGAGGGCGTCATTTGTCAACTTCAGTCTCTCTCCCTACTTCCTTCAGACAAGGTCAGAAATTTGGGGGTAATACTGGACTCAGACCTAAATTTCAATAGCCACATAAAATCAATAACATCAACAGCTTTTTACCATCTGAAGAACATTGCCAAAGTTAGAAATATAGTGTCCAGGGCAGACTTGGAGATTCTTGTCCATGCATTTGTCTCCAGCAGGCTAGACTACTGCAATGGCCTGCTTACAGGTCTGTCCAAACAGACCTGTAAGCAGCTGCAGTACATCCAAAATGCAGCAGCTAGAGTCCTGACAGGAACCAGGAAGTATGACCATATTAGTCCGGTCCTCAGGTCTCTGCACTGGCTTCCTGTGGCTCAAAGAATAGATTTTAAAACAGCTCTGCTTGTGTACAAGTCTCTCCATGGCCTTGCACCAGAATACATTAGTGACATGTTGGTGTCATATGAACCGGCCCGGACTCTGAGGAGCACAGGGACTGGCCTCCTGCTGGTGCCCAGAGTGAGAACCAAACATGGGGAGGCTGCGTTTCAGATCCATGCAGCTAAGATCTGGAACAATCTCCCTGAAAATGTGAGGGAGGCGTCTACTCTGTCAATGTTCAAATCCAGGTTAAAGACTGTTCTGTTTGCCTGTGCATACAACTGAAGGATTTTATCTCCATTTCTAATGCACTGCTGTCATTTATTTATTTTTTTTAAATTTCTTGTGTAATTTTGAAAGTTTTAATGGTTTTATTCTTTTGTGTGATTTTAATGTTTTAATTGTGTTTTAATCTTTTGTGTGATTTTAATGTTTTAATTGTGATTCTGGTGTTTGTTTTATGTGATGATTTGTGATGTGGACTGTGAAGCGCTTTGTGTTGCCCTGTGTATGAAAGGCGCTCTACAAATAAACTTTGATTGATTGATTGATAATGACTGTACCCGATATTAACGGCTTATTAACCGAGCGCGAGGTCTGTATGAAGAAATATCAGACCGCGGCCTTAATGTACACTGCAAAAAGGCCAAGGTCTGATATTTCTCTGTACAGACTGAGCAAGCAAGGTTAATAAATGTTTTATTATATGACTCTCGTCTGTGTCTTTACCAATGCTTTCGAGATATTTGTGAAGTATGTCCATGTCCGACTTGGTTTTGTGTGATACGGGCTGTGGACCGATTGTCATGGTAACGGTCCGTGGAAAAATATCAAATGTGATACGCGCTGTTCGGACCAATTGTCATGTAACGGTCCGAGATGGGAAAATATCAGGCCGGTAATCAGCCAATCAGAGCGTGCGTACGGTCCAAGTCATATAATAACGCAATATATCACAACATTTTCCTCAGAGCTGCTTGGAGGAGTAGCTAGCTTCCGTTATCGTCCCGGGAAAGTAGCTCTCTGGGTGAAAAAAGGTAGAGACGCCTGATATAGAAGGACATGACCACAGTGTGTTCATCACTTTTAGGTCATGCTAGCTGATTGATAACAGCGCTATTGTCTTGACTTCAATCACCAATGAAGATGGACAAATAAAGTATTCCAATAACAATATCAACGTTTCAAAATTATTCAAAGCTGTCTGATTAATGTTGCCAGAGGGGGCAATTTCAAACATGGAAAGTGTTACATTTGTTCAAAACAAAAGTTAAGCCTGAGAGTCTACTATTAAAATATAACAGCAGTAATTTGAAGAAAAGCGCCTCAAGTTGGAAGCGCCATCTGCTCCGACTAATGCCATCTTTAATGACAGCAGAGGCGGCAGTTAAGAACAAACTAAGATAAAACTTGATCCCATTTATGCCAAATGTGACATGGAAATTTCTCCTTTGTGATATCAATAAAGTTTATCTTTAATTTCACTCTAAACCTGCTCTCTGACTTTTGGGAACCAGTGCTTTGACGATTGACTTTGAGAGACTTTGTGGTGAGTGATGCAACTTTGTGCTGATGTTAAAAAAGATGGTAGATTTCAATCCAATCCAATCCACTTTATTAATATAGCACATTTTATAAAACATGTTTCTAAAGTGCTGCACAGAGAAAAAGTAACACATTACAATATACAAGTATGCCAGCTATAAATACAAACTATTGAAATGAAGACAAATTAAAATAAAACAATTAGCTAAATACATAAAAAAAACAAATAAAAAGAACAACAACCCCTCACTCTTTTGTGGACTTGTTCTTACATCATTTGTGATGTCTTAAGATTAACAAACAGCAGCCAATAAAACACACTTAATAAACTCATGGGTGTGTGTTGTTTCTGCCGTGTAACCAGAGACTCTGAAACAAGACTGGGCCCGGTCTGAACCTGGTCTCAACCAAAACCTGCACACATATAGTTTGTGTGTTGCCTGTCAATAGACCATAAATACATCTCCAGCATGGGTACAAAATGAAAAATATATGTTGTAAGCTTTTATTACTGATACCTTTTGGTCTAATAATCTGGCAGATCTATACCTATATATAATCTATTAGAGTTTGGACCTTTCTGTTTGGTTTAACTCCAAACTGAAACCGATAAACTGGAAAGTATAAAGAAGATAGCAAAAAATAAAGAAACACACAGAGACTGTACTTGCTGTCAATAACGCTCTTTAACTGCATATAATTGTATGTAAAGAAGAACATGTTGTCAATTCCTTGCTTTTCAGTTAGTTGTTACAAGTCTCTCCATGGCCTCGCACCAAAGTACATTAGTGACATGTTAGTCCTGTATGAACCAACTCTGACTCTGAGCACAGGGACTGGCCTCCTGCTGGGGCTCTGAGGAGGACAGGGAGCCCTGTCCTCCTCCTGTCCCTGACTCTCTGATCTGTGTTGGTGAATTCAACATTGTGTAAAGTCCTCCGAGATAACTCCTGTTATAGTTTAGGACTATATAAGAATACATTAAATTCAATTGAATTGAGTATAATTCACCTAAAACCATATCTTGCATATCTTAAAGGATCTTAGAAATTCACTGTAGAATATTATCACTTTTTTTTCCAGCACAACAGAGCTATGGGCTATGGTAACAATAGCAGCTTTTATGTGAAATATATGATAGAATAATATAATTTATTCGTCCCACAGTGAGGACATTGCAGTGTTTTTAACCCTTAATACGATGCCATCGCCGGCGATGGATGCGCACATGTTTTACAAGTGTTCAATTTACTCACGAACTGTAAAAGGTAGCGATCGAGGGTTTTTTTTCTCCGTAAAGGGCACATTCCAGGCATTACAAAAATAGCTTCGGTTTGTCTGTTTATCGTATGGAGGATAAGTTACGTGTGTATGAAAGTCAGTGTCCAAACAGATCTTCGAGCGGTGACTGGTGCGCCAGAAACAGCCAATTGTAAAGTTTTTTACTCACACGGTACTCACACAAAGATTGTCAGAGAGTAGGATCACTCACTCCTCTGTGTGTAATTTTTGCAGAATAGGCAGCAGTGCTCAGAGGAGCTAGAGGGTGCACATTATGGATATAGACACTAATAAATACAGTAAAATTATATTATGTGTATATAATTTTTTTTTGTATTTTAATATTGTTTTTTGTTTTGTTTTTTTGTCTTAGTTTTTTTGTTTTACGTATTTTACAGCTGTGATACTGAAGCAAATAGAAGCCTAATAGACAAACTGCTTCAGGAAGGGCATCTGGAGTACAGCGTTTAAAAAAATGTATAATAGTCACAGTTTCCATTTTTTTCCCCATTATCTCCAAGTCCCTAAATAACATTTCTATGCAGTCTAAAAGGTTGTTTATAGCATTTAATTGTGTTTTTTCAATACATTTTTGTGAAATTGATTTTCCGTTTCATTTTCTTCTTTGTCTTCATGATTCCATATTTTTTTATATGATTCATATGACAGCTCTACAATATGAATATTCTAAAACCCCAGGTTGTATACTGCTTGACTCTGCATCAAAAGATGATTGTTTTATGAGCAATTATACACAAAGAAAAGCAGGCGAGGAAAGTTCCCCGAAATGACCCTTGACCTTGGAGGGTTAAATAGCTGTAAATGCTTCATAATGAGAGCAATAAGCAAGTAACAATATACTGTATATACATGGATGTCTTTATATACATTGATGGTACGATGACGGGACCTCTGTACCTGGCCTCCTCCATCTACACCTGCGGACTGCCCTGCCCAACCCGCCTGGGAGTTCTTCAGTCCTGTACCGGACCTGTCCACGCTCAGCAGCCACTGGTCCACGTTCTGTAGCTTAGGTCCTGGATCTGTAGCCCGTCTGTCGGTGGGAGCGGATCCCTTTGTCAAACTGTGGGTCTACCCGAGGTTTCTCACTTTTTCCCACTG